GTATAGTAATTATGTATATCGAGAGTTATATTTTTATTTAATTTCAGGATGGCGTTGGAAGTCGAACTACGGAACGGTTCGCGAATACCTTCATTACGCCCGGCACCAATACGCTATTTGTCCTGCATTACATACAGTCTCATGTCGAGAGGCTGTATCAGCTCGAAAAACCTTTGAGATACCGGACTCACACGCCTCCATTCTCGGTGTAGTTTTGTAAACCTCTTCCCTTAGCTGACCGCCGATTGATCATACAGTCCAGCTTACTGACATCCTCTGCCACGAGAAGGTGACTTTCGACGAGGGACCACTTTAATTCTGCAATTCTATTTTCTAATTATAGATTTGATTGTATAAAAGCAGCGAACGATCCACGTTGATGATCAGGGTAGAATTGCCATGGGATTTTAGCTTCCTTCTCTAAGATATCTTTCCTATCTTCCTATATAAGGGTTTTGTTCCCCTCTCGAACGTAAGGATGCATACCCTACGTAACGTTATTACACCTCTAAAACCTCTTCCCTTCGAGACCGATCAAAATGGCAGTATCAAGGAGACTTTCACAAATCACGGGTTTAGAACGCATTCTAGGTCGGGACATGCTGCAGGTAAATTAATATTCTTAATAACAACAGATCTGCCCTTACACCAACCTCGTCAATAGTCCAGCGAAAAGATCATCCAACAGGTATAGGCAAAAACAGACAAGGCTCAACAGCTATTTAAATAGGATAGGCGCTACAGACTCTAAACTTTGTGCCTGCTGCCAAGCAGTACACGCAGACAAAACGAGGAAATCTGTAATCTGTCTTTCTTCTTAGGACGGAAATCACGCTCAGACTCCGACCCTAGCAACCGCTTATGAAGGCCGTTCATGCAGCAAATCAACTACGTGATTACGATAGGAACACGAACCTTAACCTCAATTTGATAAAGCGAAAATTGAAGCAACCTACCCCTTACTATTTACCCCTTCCCAGGTAGATACAGCTGCAGCCGCCAAAGATAGGACACTACACACTTGGAGAACATAACGTTTAAGATCATCTACTAGCTAATACCAAGGGAGCCTCTATAACACCAACTGAGAATCCAAGACCAAGCAGTTCATGTCGGATCTGAGAGAAATGGAGTATGTAATTAACACACTAGTCCCTCCGGGAGTAATAAACATCATTCATATGAGAGAGTGTGAAAATGTGAAGAAGGTTTCGAATCTCTCTGTATCGACTATAATACAGTGATTATTGTCAATAATTATCGATAGGCAACTTATCGATGACAAGTCTGATTCGAGGTCCATAGAGGCCGGCTCGAAAGAGTAGTTCGGCACAACCGTGTCATTTTTAAGAAGTTTATGTCATTGAAATGCATATGTACGTAACTACGTCAAAGAAACGGTTAATGGTTGATTATTAGCTCAGGTCTCAATTATGAGGATGTGGCAAGCATAAATACCTAGATATTAATCAACATTCAAAAGACTGGAAGCAGCAGATGGTCGATATTTTTTATTATATAGTACCTACTGATGGTTTTATGAAACTGTTGGTTTAAATAGGCTGTATTCTTCAAAGCTACGAAGGGCAAGCCCTGGATTCCATTCATCCCTCTACTTTATACTTCGCATATCAGGTTCCCTACCAAACAAGATGGTGTTCATCGAATATGACCTCAATGAGTTCGGCTCAAACATAACCATCCTACAACCCTCTTTCAACCCTGATCTCACCCAGGATCCAGTCGTCATTAGTATATCTCGTGATCAATTCGTCGCCTTCCGCATACCAAATGAATATGGCATCAGCGTGATAATTGAACAGCACCTGACTCCCAAAGAAATTGTCGTCCTCCTCGTCAACAATGACTATGCCCTCATTGGCCGTGTATCGGTATACAATGCTCGCGACCCTAGCTACTGGGGCAAACAGCTGAATGGAGCCCTTACAGAACAGCTTCACTGGCGCGACAAACTGGCCGATAGCAAGCTCTTCGTATGGGAGCCCAAAGAGGAGATTCCTGAAGAGTTTACCACGAGCTTTCTTAAATCATGGACTTCCAATTGGAACTTACACGCAACTCGTGAAGTATACGAAGTCATGGCTAAAGAAACTATCACTGCCATGGAGTTTAACAAGCACAAGGTACCTGATAGGCCTTTTTTGAAGATAACTCGTACCCTGGATAGCTGGACGAAGTGCGGTGTTGAATCCAAGACGCTATATCGCTCTGACTATCTTAGCAAGCTGTGAATTATACGATGATGTATCCAGACAGACCTCCATATCACTTGAGTTTTGCTCAGCCCTAGTTACAATTATTAAAAGAATGGCACACACTTTACTCTTTGGTTGTTCTATCGTACCTATCTTTTGATGTGTCTGTGACTGCCTTTTTTGGCTTGGGTAAAACTAGTGGGTTAGGTACTACTCGTGCATGTTCATTCCGTAGTGTTCTGGCAGCCTCAATGAGACCTTGTTTGATATAAGACATATTTTCCTAAGCTTGATAAGTAATGTGATTAGTGTGGGTAGAATTTACTCTTCCACCTAAGTACCTCTAACAATCAACCACGGCAAAGATTCGCTTAAGTTGGGAGAAAACGGTACTTCCTTGATTCACGACATGCCTCATTTTTATAGTTCAATCTAGTTTCGAAGCCTGTTAAACGCTTCTATAGCATAGTGTTTTCCTTCCTCCGAAATGAACGCCATTTGCTTCCATTGGTCGGGCTTTGGCATGGCTTCGCATCCGTCCATCACCAAGGCGAGCTTTTCTGCATGCAGAGACATTTCCTTAATCTGAGATTCGGTGGCCCAACAAAAGGCTTCATGTTCCATAGGGCTCAGTCTGATGTTCTTCAAGCCCTCGTCGCCATCCTTGACGCTGCCGATAAATATAATCTTGAGGTTATCTTTCATCCACAGCATCCAGGGAGCCTGAAATTGATACTGGCCGACGTAGTCGTCGAAGCTCGCAAGATCCAGGCCAGTTTCCTCCCACAGCTCACGCTGTCCAGCGCGCAAAATCGTTTCCCGCAGAATCCAGTCCACCCCACCACCTGGTAATTCCCATTTTCCCACTTTTGCAAACTAGCGTTTGGTCTGCAGTAACAGTATTTCAGGTTCAGGCCTAGTATGCCGCACAGGATTCATCCGTACCTAATTAAGAACTCTCGGAGACTTCTTAAACGATTTCAGTCCCAATTCATGATTCCGAATCTGGCGGAGCCACCTTAGGAAACGAAAGTATGGACTTTCAGGGAAGCTCCGGAGAATCAGAGCGTGCCAGCTCGTGCCCATTAGGAGATTTCTCAAAAAGAAACAGAAGTCCATCAGCATACTTGTCTTGTTCACCCACTCCATTGGTTGTGGTCCCGGATCTATCACGTTCTGTTTTATTGTGCGAAACGTCTAGTCGGCAGAACTCCAACCGTTCTCAGTACTCGGAAGGGATGGTCGAAGATCCTCACGAATCGGACTCAGCTCCTTCTGACGACGAGAACGATGCAGACTACCTGGATCACTCCGAGACAGAAGACGCTAGCGAGAGCTTACACCCATCTAAGCGTCGTCGTAGAAGTCCAGGCGACGCTTCGTCGGCCACTCAAGAAGTGCCCAAAACGTTGTCTTCAGAGTCCCCGCTCGCTGATCAACCTGAGTCAATACCAGAAAACCCGAGTCCAGAGAGTGAATCAATTCCTATCCAGGGTTTCCTCCGATTACGAACTAAGGGAACCGAGGTCATATACTCTTTAGAGTTTTCACAGACGCAGTTTTCGTCATTTTTTGCAGGCAAACAGATAGACTCTTCTCGATCACATCCGCGGACAGCCTATCCCAGGATGAAGACCCCATATACGCCCGAGGAGGACGCATTCATTATTAAGTTGAAGGCTAAAAACCTTAGCTGGGACGAGATCAAAGATCAATTTAATATTAGATTGGGTCTATCTATAGTTTGTACTCAGCCATGGCGTAGCTCAGGGTTATGATCTTCCGACCGTACGAGGTTTTCTCTGTCATATAGAAACCTGTTCCTATCGATCTCGCAATATTGATCGTATACGACAGCATTATAACCAGGCACATGGATGGCGCAAAAGTCAAAGAATAATGCCTTGGAATCATGCACATCTTCAAACATTATTTCAGGAAAAGGAACAAATTCGTTACTTTACCGTAGTACCAGCTAATCTATTCTCCTTACCACATGTCTCTCCATCTATCACATCTACTCTTACTACAAATGATCTACCTTCCTTGGATACTCTTCTCCAGGAATACCACACATTTCAAACTCAGAACTCTGTGTCATATACTGTGAATGACAGTCAGCATATCTCTGAAATTACTCCATGGTTGCGAACCACTGGTATTCATGTTCACCTTACTAGATTAGATCTAGAAACGGTAGGAGATCTTTATCGACTTCCTAATCATGATGAGACAAGATTAGATCTCATCTGCGCCAGCGTGGACCGAATCTGGAGACAGACAGAACAGCTACTACATCACAACCCTGTTAGTGACATCCCACGGCTAAGTCGCTACAATGCTCGACTTCTCAATACCTTTACGCGAGGAGAGATCTCGCAGAATCCTATCCAGCCTCTCCAGAATCCTCAGAGTCGCTCTCGGTACATTCAGACCTGGCAGAGGTTAATCTGTTATTGGAGTCAAGTAATGGATGACCAGCTCCTTCCTAATCCTTTGTTTCTGCCAACAGAGGGTCAGAAGTCTACCTGGGACGACGTGATCACTGCTGCTAAGAATCTAAGTCACCAACAAGAATTAGAGCAGAATAATGATGAGGCTCTCCATCAACTCCAGCAGGAGATGGATAAACAAACCCTTGCATTTTGCCTTAAGATTATCCAACAGTCAGTCTCTTTGCGAGCCTTTACTCTATCCTGGTCTCCTTTGCAGCACTTTTATTCTGGATACCAGATAAGAAACAGTGGATGACAGTTAGCAACTACACCTCCTTTCTCTCACAACTGATCTATAACTGTCAGATCTGGATCCTAGCCCTTTCTATCCTAGAACAACAGAACCATCCTACTCAGGATCTTGGAGATATTATTATTAGACACCGCGATCGATGGCTACTCAATGATACCAAGGGACCCGTGGCGGAGCTACTGGAGAATCGACTGTATGCATTCCGGATTGCAATGAGTGAGGTCCCCCCTGCTCAAGTACGATGGGATCGAGAGGGCCAAGTCATTACATTCCAAGATGTAAGTCTGTCCTTGTTGGAACTCTCTCGACTGATCCGCGAGGGCATCTCTACCGCGCAGGCCATCTTCGAGCAAGAGTTGTGTTTATCCGGCCCAGCACGGCCGGCTACTGAGATCCCTCAATTTGATCTTAGTAATCTGATGGATAACTGGGATGCTACACAAGCTGGTGCATCCTTTCTCACAGATTCTCGCAATCATGCCTACGTAGTACCCTATCAGGACTGGCTCTTCCGTCGAGTCAGTCAGGATGCAGTTCTGTTTCCAATCTTTTGGGAGTTGGGTGTTGATCAGACCTGGCGGATCTCACCCAAGATGGTAGAACAGTACGAAGCAACTATCCAGCGATTCCTAGAGGCTTTACTCGTCCCCTTCTTTATTGGATCTGGCCAGCAAGCGCGACGCACTGAGTTCCTAGGAATTCGATGGCGCAACACCCTCCTGCATACTCGCGATCTCTTCCTCCATGATGGTCAAATGCTCTTTATTCTGGATTATCATAAGAGTCGTCATCGTACTAATGCCTCTCGATGGCCCGCCCGGTTTCTTCTCCCAGAAGTAGGACACTTAGTTACGCAGTTTCTCATCTTAATTATGCCCTTCCGACAGTGGTTACAGCACCAGGTGCAAACTATGCATTCTTCCACATCCCTCCACTCTGTGACTACCTCTGGGCCTCTACGACAAAGCCTTGGTCTGATAATCATCTTACGTGGACCGTGATCCGGACTGGAGAGCAGATCCTTGGTAAGAAGATTCATATTCGAGCCTGGCGCCAGATCACTGTTGGGATTGCCATTAAGAAGTTTAGAACTCTTGCGTCACAGTTTATTGAGGATTCTCTTGATAATGAAGATGACCTTATAGAGGATCACAATGGCAGTATGGCTGCGGTATTCCATTATCAGGCTGCACATACACCTCATACTGGGAATCCGATCTATGGAGGGACCATCAATTTTCGAGCCGGTCTCACCGATGCTGGTCTTCAAGAATTCCGCCAACCTAGCGAGATCTGGCATCAATTAATCAAACAGCCCTCGCAGTACTCTACACCTAGCTTATTAAAAAGACGACTGCCTGCTGTATTCACTCAGTCCTTGCAACCAGCCAACGTCAATATAGAGTGGGAATGGGATGAGAGTCCTTCCAAGCGAGTGCGGAGTGAGGCAACTGAGTCCACACTAGTTCAACGATTTCATCGTTGCCACGAACCACGACAGAGTCAACAGCGCTGGACTATGGAGCAGGCGCAGACCATTCTAAAGCGCATGTATGGACCAGAAGCGCAGTATCGAACCAGTAATCAGCAACAAGCCTTGCAGTATATCATCCAGGGTTTTAGTCAAGTGGTTGCAGTTCTTCGGACAAATGAGGGCAAGAGCCTACTCTATCTTCTGCCCTGCCAGCTTCCTGGTGCACGAACAACCGTGGTAGTGCTCCCTTTATTGGTCCTCAAGCAGGACATGCTCCTTCGATGTCAGAATGCTGGAATTAAGTGACCATCTGGAATCAGCAGATGAATCCAGGCACCTTGGATCGAGTCCACTGATCCTAGTAAGCGCTGAGCAGGCAGTACATATCAACTTCCGAACCTTTCTTCTTCGGCTACAGCTTGCCAATCAACTTGATCGTGTTGTATTTGATGAGTGTCATCTGACTCTGACCGCCTCTTCTTACCGCAAGGGACTGGCCTTGCTTCCTACGTTACGCGATATTCAGTGTCAGATGGTCTTCCTCACTGGCACGCTACCACCAGTCATGATGGCAGAATTTGAGCAAACCATGCTACTCTCTCAGGCACGATTGATCCGTAGCCTCACCACTCGCCGTGATCTATCCTATCAGGTCGTTTCCTGCCCTATGGATCAGGACTTCTTCAAGTTTGCAATTCCTTGGATCCAGCAAGAGCGTACCCAACTAGACTCTCAAGAGCGTGCAATTCTCTACTGCCAAACCCAAGCGATTACAGAGAAAGTGGCTACGATTCTTGCATGTCCCTTCTACCATGCTGATTCTGGGACTCGTGAAGAGAAGGCGCAAACCCTCGAGACGTGGCGTAATGGAAATCCAAATTGGATTGTTGCCACTTCTGCCTTTGGAATGGGAATTGATCATCCACGAGTCCGCCTTGTTATCCATCTTGGAGCTCCATCCAGTCTCATTGAGTTTACGCAGGAGGTAGGCCGCCTAGGACGTGACCAACAGGGCGGTCGTTCTATTACCTTACTCCCTCCCTCATGGAGTATTACCAAGTCGAGCCGACCAGGCCATATGATCTCGTCTGATGTACAGGCTATGCATGCTGTTTTAGATCAGCCGAACTGTCGAGTCGCTGCGATGAGCTCCTTCCTCGATGGGGCTGCAGTGGCCTGCAGCGCGCCTGATCCTCTCTGTGATCAATGTCGCTTCCGTCAAGAGAATCCTGAATCTTCTTCGACTGATCCTACTACGACCTGCTCGCCTAATCCAGAGGAGAACGTCGACTGCGATCTGACTATTGGGTCTCAGATGCGAATCCAGCAGATCCAGCAGGAGAGCCAGCAATTACAGCAGTATGAGGATTCCCTCCAGGCGCTCCGTGGCACCTGCGTGATCTGCCGTATCCTACCATCATCATCTGCCGACACGAAAAAGCATTCCTTTATCAAGTGTTGGAATCCTCGTCGACAGGACTTTCTTGAGTCAAAAAAGAGGGCACAGCAGGAAGGAAAGCGGTTTCAAGGCTGGATGCAGCGATATGCCGGGTGCTTTCGTTGTTATAATCCACAAGCGGTGTGCAGTCAACAGGGCCAGGGAACCTGCCTCTATCCTGATCTCGTCATGCAAGCTTGCTGGGCGATCTATCAGATCAAGGCCTGGACAGAAGGCTTGCTGCCTGGTCTTGGTGGTGAGCACGTACAATCCAACGAGGCAGCATATATGCTTTGGCTAGGGCAGAAGCGAGCGACATTTGGGGTTGAAGGATTGAATGCTGCCTGGGTGGCTTATCATGTATTCCAACAGCTTCTGGAGCCTGCAAAAGGTTCAGTTTAGTCCGCTAATTTCATTCGATAGTGTTTAGAGAGTTAACATTACAGAGGTTATATCACAGTCCCTCCAATTCCACCCATATCGCGTAGATGGATCGTAGTCAATGCAACCATCTATATTATATATATTGTTGACAGATTCTGTCCCAGGTTCATATATTGACTATTTATATATATTAGTTTATGGAGCTTTATACTACAGCTTGGAACTATTGATTGAATTAGCGATTCAACAGGGCTATTAGTAATTAGGCCGGAAAGTCGATTGGCAGTTGGCGATTAATGATTATGCAACAGCCAGTAACGCAGTTGATAGTTGACCGTTGAGCCAGTAAGCCAGTCCATAGTTCAGCAAGTTGCCAGAGGGCAGTTCAGTAAGTAATCTAGTTGAGAGTGAATGGTTTGACTAGGGAGACAGTTGGCAGTTGGCAGTTCAAACACTTGACAATTGGCGGCTTAGCCAGTTGATAGTTAACAGTTGGCAGTTGGCAGTTGACAGTTGACAGTTAACAGTTGACGGCTCAGCAAGTTGCCCATTAGCGGTTAAGCAAGGTGACAGTTGACGGTTCAACCATTTGACGGTTGGCAGTGGACGATTAAGCAAGCTGGCAGTTCGCAGTTGTCAATTAACGATTGAACAAATTGATAGTTGGCGGTTGTTGAGCACGTTGCCAGTTGCGAGTTATCAGTTGACAGTTGAGCAAGTTGCCAGTCGCTAGCAGACAAGTTGACAGTTGGTGGTTGGGCAAGTTGACGATTGACAGTTGATGATTGAGCAAGTGGACAGTTGGTGGTTGGGCAAGTTGACAGTTGACAGTTGACAGTTGACAGTTGGTGGTTGAGCAAGGTGGCAGAGCGCGGATCAAGCATTTGACAGTTGTCGGCAGAGCCAGTGGACAGTTGGCGGTTCACCAAGTTGCCAGATGGCAGTTGAGCCGTTTGACAGTTGACAGTTGAGCCGTTTGACAGTTGACAGTTGACGATTGAGCAAGTTGACAGTTGGCGATTGAGCAAGGTGCGAGACGGCGGCTCAAACATTTGACAGTTGGTGATTGAGCCAGTTGACAGATGGCGGTTAAGCCGTTTGACAGTTGACAATTGGCTAGATGACGGTTCAGCCAGGAAGGTCGTTGATGATGAGCCCGTTGACCAGTTGGTCGTGGAGCGAGGGAGCCAATTGACAGTTGGTGGTTGGGCAAGTTGCTAGTTGGTGGTTAAGCACGTTGGCAGCTGGTGGTCAAGAAAGTTGCCAGATGGCGGTTAAGCAAGGTGACAGTTGACGGTTCAACCATTTGACAGTTGGCAGTGGACAGTTAAGCAAGCTGGCAGTTCGCAGTTCGCAGTTAACGATTAAGCAAGTTGACAGTTGGCGGTTATTGAGCACGTTACCAGTTGCGAGTTATCAGTTGACGGTTGAGCAAGTTGCCAGTCGCCGGCAAGGTTAGTTGACAGTTGGTGGATAAGCAAATTGCCAGTCACCGGCAGAGTAAGTTGACAGTTGGCACTTCGCAGTAGGCAGTTGACGATTGAGCAAGGTGCCAGATGACGGTTCAGCCAGGAAGGCCGTTGATCATTGAACCTGTTAGCCAGTTAATTGTAGAGTGAGGGAGCCAGTTGACAGTTGGTAGTTTGGCAAGTTGACAGTTGGTGGTTGAGCAAGTTCACGATTGATCCAGTTGCCAATTGACAGTTGGTGGTTTAGAAAAGTCAACAGTTGACGATTGGGCACGTTAACAGTTGGTGGTTTAATCATTTGATAGTTGGTTGAGCAAGTTGACAGTTGACAATTGAGCAGGTTAACAGTTGATGATTAAGCCAGTTGACAGTTGACGGCTCGGCAAGTTGCCCATTAGCGGTTAAGCAAGGTGACAGTTGACCGTTGACCGTTGACAGTTGACGATTGAGCAAGTTGACAGTTGGCGGTTGAGAAAATCGACAGTTGGCAGTTCGTAGTCAAGGAAGCTGACAGTTGGGGTTTGAGCCAGTTGACAGGTAGCAGTTCAGAGAAATTGACAATTGCCAGGTAAACGAGTTGACCCAGGACGGCAGAGCAAGTTGGTAGTTGATGGCAGAGTAAGTTGACAGTTGGCGGTTCAGCCAGGAAGACAGTGCCAGTTGAGCCAGGAAGACAGTGCCAGTTGAGCCAGGAAGACAGTGCCAGTTAAGCCAGGAAGACAGTGCCAGTTGAAACAGTAAGACAGTTGGCATCCGGCCAGTTACCAATTGGCAGTTCCATCAGGGAGCCCGTTGGTGATTGAGCTCGTTGACAGTTGGTGGTTGAGAAAGTTTCCAGATGGCGGTTAAGCCAGTTGACAGTTGGTGGTTAAGCAGGTTTACAGTTGGTGGTTAAGCAGGTTGACAGTTGGTGGTTAAGCAGGTTGACAGTTGGTGGTTGGGCAAGTTGACAGTTGGTGGTTGGGCAAGTTGGCAGTTGACAGTTGACGATTGAGCAAGTTGACGGTTGGTGGTTGAGCAAGGTACCAGATGCTTCAGCAAGTAATCCAGCAAGCCAGTTGGCAGTTCAGCAAATTGACAGTTGGCGGGATGGCCGGTCAGCCAGGAAGCCCGTTGGCCAGTTAATAGTGGAACGAGGGAGCCAGTTGACAGTTGGCGGTTGAGCAAGTTGCCAGATAGCGATTGAGCCAGTTACGAGGTAGTGGTTGAGACAGTCGACAGTTGGTGGTTCACCAAGTTGCCAGATGGCGGTTGAGCCGTTTGATAGTTGACCGTTGACGATTGAGCAAGTTGAAGAGTTGGTGTTTGAGCCAGTTGGTTGATGGTCGAGAAAGTTGCCAGTTGACAGTTGGTGGTTGAGGAAGTGAGCAGTTGACGGTTGACGGTTGAGCAAGTGGGCCGTTGACGGTTGATCAAGTTGACAGTTAGCGGTGTTAAGCACGTTGCCAGTTGAGCAAGTTGACAGTTGGTGGTCGAGAAAGTCAATAGTTAGGGGTTTAGTCAGTTGACAGTTGGTTGAGCCAGTTGACAGTTGGTTAAGCCAGTTGACAGTTGGTGGTTTAACCATTTGACAGTTGGTTGAGCAGGTTGACAGTTGGTGGTCGAGAAAGTCAATAGTTTGGGGTTTAGTTAGTTGACAGTTGATGGTTGAGAAAGGTGCCAGATGGCGGTTAAGCCAGTTGGTGGTTAAGCCAGTTGACAGTTGGTGGTTTAACCATTTGACAGTTGGTTGAGCAGGTTGACAGTTGGCGGTTGAGAAAGTCGATAGTTGACCGTTGACCGTTGACCGTTGACCGTTGACCGTTGACCGTTGACCGTTGACCGTTGACCGTTGACAGTTGACAGTTGACCGTTGACAGTTGACCGTTGACAGTTGACCATTGACAGTTGACAGTTGACCGTTGACAGTTGACAGTTGACAGTTGACAGTTGACAGTTGACAGTTGACCATTGAGCAAGTTGACAGTTGGCGGTTGGGAAAGTCGACAGTTGGCGATTCGTAGTCAAGGAAGTTGACAGTTGGGGGTTGAGCCAGGATGACAGTGCCAGTTGAGCCAGTAAGACAGTTGACAATTGAGCCAGGAAGACAGTTGGCGGTCAAACCAGTAAGACAGTTGGCGATCCGGCCAGTTACCAATTGGCGGTTCCGTCAGGGAGCCCGTTGGTAATTGAGCTCGTTGACCAGTGGCAGTTGAGCGAGGGAGCCAGTTAGCAGTTCCACCAGAAGGCAATTGACAGTGGAGCCAAGAAGCTGGTTTATATCGATTGGCATGGTGGAGTTGTTGGTTATATATATTGATTGTGGCAGTGGAATATTGGTTAGGATCGTATATATGATGGAATATATATATTGATTGTGGGAGTGGTATATTGGTTAGGATGCGTATATATGATGGAATATATATAGATTGATCGAGATGGCGATTGGTAGTAGAGCTGGCAAAGACGTTAATAGTTGAGTAGGAAAGCCAGTTGATGGTTCAGTCAGGAAGGGCATTGCCAATTGAGAAAGGAGAGCCGGTTGGCGGTTTAACCAGTTGGCAGTTGGTGGTTTATCAAGTTAGCCAGTCGGCAGTTAAGCAGGCGGGCCAGTTGACAGTTCAGCCAATTGACAGTTGGCGGCAGGGCAAATTTCCATATAACGGTTGAGTAAGTCAGCCAATTGGTGGTTTAGCCAGTCAGCCAGTTGGCAGTTGGCAGTTGGCAGTTGGCAGTTGACAGTTGGCGGTAGGGCCAGTGCCAGTTGGCAGTTGAGCAAGTCAGCCAGTTGGCGGTTTAGCCAGTGCCAGTTGGTGGTTAAGCAAGTCCGTAATGGAGCCGGCAAAGAGGTTAAGGAAGAAAGCCAGTTGCCAGTTGCCAGTTCAGGCATGTGACAGTTGGCGGTTTAGGCAGTAACCAGTTGACAGTTTAGCCATTTGCCAGCTGGCGGTTGAGAAAGTTAACAAATGGGGTTTAATCAATTGACAGTTGGCGGTTCAATGATTTGACAGTTGGTAGTTGAGAAAATTGACAGTTGGGGGTTTAGCCAGTTGGCAGTTGAGTAAGTTGGGCAGTTGGTGGTTAGCCAGTTGGCAGTTGGTGATTAAGCAAATTGACAGTTGGCGATTATGCAAGTGGCCAGTTAACGGTTCAGGCAGGAAGCCCGTTGGCAGTTGACAGTTCAACCATTTAATAGTCGGCGGTTGTGCAGTTGCCAGTGGGCAGTTTAGTCAGTTGCCAGTTGGCAGTTAAGTAATCGGGCCAGTTGACGGTTTAACAAGAGGATCAGTTGACCATTCAGTCAGTAAGCCAGGTGACAGTTCCATTATGTTAATTTATTGAAAAGATGGATGTATTTTATATATTTATATAAACCACATGGAGGGGTTATATTTATATTCATATGATGGATTTCGGATTTTTATAGGGATGATTTCCCGGTATTGGCGGTGGTAGGATATATATGGTGGAGTGGAATAGAGGATCAAAATATAATGAAGAATAGGGATTCAGGATTATATATTTTAAATATATATTTTAGGGGCAGGGTCCAGATATTAGGAGAAGAAATGCATGATTCAAGAGAAAAGAATATATATAAGAGGAAGGAGCATGGGAATGGAGTTTTAGGGTTAGAATGTAAGGGAGTGAATAAGAAAGAGGATATATATAGAAGAGAATAGATTCCATAGTAGGAGCAATTTCCATCAAAGATAAAGAAGAAAGATCAAGAAATATAAAGGATAGAATTGGATTCGGAATGGGAATATATTCGGAGGATAGAATTAGAAATGGTAGTATGTTAGGAGGATAGAAATATGGTTAATCATATATTAGAAGAATAGAATTCAGGATCATAATATGAAAAGAAGATAGAATTAGAGATGATAGTGTAAAGAAGAGATAGGGATCGGTAGTATAAAGGGAAGATAGAATTAGAGATAATAATGTGAAGGAGAGATAGGGTTAGGGATAGTAGTATAAAGAGAAGAAGAGAGATAGTATTAATATTAGAAGATAGAAGAGTAAATAAGAAAGTATAATAGGATCAGATTAATAAATCAGAGTTTATAGAATAGTGGTGGTGAGTGGAAGAGGGTTCGAGTATTAAAAGAGGTATGATAAAAGGTGGAAGGAAAGAGAATAGGGAGGATGAAAGGAGGAGGAATTTTTAAGAGAGGGAGAAATAGAGAGAATAGAGTAGATCAGAAGAGATATAAGATTAGAAGAAAGAAAGTTTAGAATGGGTTGGATGAGGGGAAGGGATTAAAGTAAAAGATAAAGAAGAGGGAAGGGATTAAAGTAAAAGATAAAGAAGAGGGAAGAGATTGAAGTATAAAGATAAAGAAGAGGGAAGGAAGTGAGAAGATATAAAAGAAGAAGAGGGATAGATTTAGGGGTTAAAAGAGAATAAGTTAAGGATCGGGGTAGGGATTATAAAGAAGTGGGAAAAATAAGTAAAGGATAGAATTAGAATTATTTAGAAGTAGGAAGAATAATATAAGGATATAAAGAAGATGAAGAAGAGGGAAGGATGTATAAAGATGAAGAGGGAAGAAAGTGATGAAGAGGGAAGGAAGTACAAAGATGAAGAAGAGGGATTATGGATAGGGAAAAGGATAGGGTTAGGGAAAGGGATGGAGATAGAGAAGAGGATAGGATTAGGGAAAGGAATGGGAATATAGATATAGATGGGTTGAAAGGGTTAGGGAAAGGAATGGGGATATAGATATAGATAGGTTGAAAGGGTTAGGGAAAGAGATAGGGATAGGGATAGTAGTATAAAGAGAAGAAGAGAGATAGTATAATTAGATAAGATTAGTAAAGAAGAGATTGTAGAATGGTGGTGGTGAGTTGAAGAGGATTAAAGTGTTAAAAGAGTTATGATAGGATAAGAGGAGGAATGTTTTTGAGAGGATAAGAGGAGGAATGTTTTTGAGAGGATAAGAGGAGGAATGTTTTTGAGAGGATAAGAGGAAGAATTTTTAAGAGAGAAATTGGAGAGAATATGATAAATAAAAAGAGATGTAAGATTGGGTTAGATGGGGGAAGGGAAGGAAGTAAGAAGATATAAATAGATTAGGATAGATTAGAGAAGGAGAGATTAAGTATAAGATGAGAAGAAGAGGGAAGAAGAGGGAAGAAGAAGAGGGAAGAAGAAGAGGAAGAAGATAAAGAAAAGGGAAGAAGATAGAGAAGAGGGAAGAAGATGGGGAGGAGAGAAGAAGATGGGGAGGAGAGAAGAAGATGGGGAGGAGAGAAGAAGATGGGGAAGAGGGAGGAAAATAGGGAGGAGAGAAGGAAGTATAAAGATAAAGAGGAGAGGATAGAAGAGAAGAAGAGGGATTATAGATAGAGAAAGGATAGAGAGGGAGAGGCAGAGGGTATGGAGAGGGAGAGGGATATGGAGAGGGAGAGGGAGAGGGTTAGGAATAGGGAAAGGGAGAGGGTTAGGAATAGGGAAAGGGAGAGGGTTAGGAATAGGGAAAGGGAGAGGGTTAGGAATAGGGAAAGGGTTAGGAATAGGGAGAGGGTTAGGAATAGGGAGAGGGAGAGGGTTAGGAATAGGGAAAGGGAGAGGGTTAGGAATAGGGAAAGGGAGAGGGTTAGGAATAGGGAAAGGGTTAGGAATAGGGAGAGGGTTAGGAATAGGGAGAGGGAGAGGGTTAGGAATAGGGAAAGGGAAGAGGGAGATGGAAATAAAGGGTTAGGGTTAGAGAAGAGAAGGGGGAGTTAGAGTGAAGATTGGATGGAGGTAGGGAAGGGAGTGAATTAGGGATTAAGGAGGGTTAGGGTTAGGGTTAGGGTTAGGGTTAGGGTTAGGGTTAGGGTTAGGGTTAGGGTTAGGGTTAGGGTTAGGGTTAGGGTTAGGGTTAGGGTTAGGGTTAGGGTTAGGGTTAGGG